TGAAGTAGGGTATGGTGGCGACCATGGCAGCGGGCACATGGCTTGGATATTCTACATTTTGTCGACCAATGGGTGGAGTTGAGACACCGGAAGCACAGTCGTTTATCACGTGCAGTCGAAATGCGGTCACTCACTGACATTTTTGTAAACGTGTTGCAAGATGTGGTGACGTGCTCGCCCGAACAGAACAGACATTTTGGAGGGGTAGTACCCATCGATTTTGAGGCAAGCATCACGACCTTTGATTTGCTGCCAACCTGGTGTGGCGGCACGGACTTCGCACGGTCCTGAGTTGGTGGAGCGCCACTCTAGCTCTTCGAAAAGTTCACGGCCTCTAACAGGCTCACGCGGTCTTTGATGTACCCAACCATGTCCAAAATAGAAGGAAAAGTCTGTTTGTTTGCGGCTTCAAAATCCTTCCTAGTGGAATACGGCAAGCAGCGGGAAGCCAGAGAGAACAATATAAATTCACCAAGGTTTGGAACATGTAGTGTGTGTAACATCGCCACCTGGTCGGAGAATAGCGCAAGAAATTCTTTCAGCCCGCTCAGAGACTCCTGGGACTGTATCGGAGCTGACATTAATTTGTCGATAATCAAAGAAGCCAACTGCCTCGGTTTATCAAACCGCTCGACCAACGTGGCTCAAGCGAGATCGTATGTTCCATCAGATACCGAGATGGAGCTAATGGCACTTAACGCGTCGCCACTGAGGCAACTGAGCAAATAATAGAAGCGTTCGCTGTCTGTTAACTCCTCATCTAGCACGACTAGATCCGTAAAGCGGTCACGGAACGTCGGCCAGCCACATAACTCGCCGCTGAAGGACGGCAGTGGGATTTCTGGGAGCCGAGAACGCCGTGAAGGACGACCTGACAGGATGGAATGGCGTGATCCCGATAAGTGACCGGTACCATGTGATAAGGCCCTCTCGCTGGGCGGGGGGGTAAATTCTTCCACTATAGCACGGGCGTCAAAGTACAGCGTACGAACCTCCGTTTCCAACGTAGTGGAGTATTCTGAGGCCAGGTCTAAATCTAACAACGCGTTCAAAAAAGCCTCATTTTGTTGCATAAATGTATCCCATAAAGAGTCCAAATCACGGGCGGCCGTTAACAATTTGGGCTTCAACTCGGGTTCATCCTTAACTCGAGACGCCACGTCGGCTATGGCCCTCATACGATTCAACGTGCTATCGCGATTTAGCGAGGCGATGGTTTTAGCCCTTTGTAACACTCGAAGCTCGCGCTCCAACTCTTTATCTGACCCGGTCATTCTCGCTCAAATAACCGACGACGATATATAAAAATTCAAAAGCAATAAGCTCAGATGTACGACAACATGAATCAGAACCTGATAACACCACCGGTGCCACAAACACTGTTGGCACAGGTTAAATAATAACATATAATAATAATAATCAGGTAGGTCACCACGCCCACAAATAATATTAATCACAGTACCTCTATTATGACGAAAATTGACGCGTATAACACACGTATCCTACCGTACAGCTTGAGGAGCACTGCGGCTTAAGATCAGAACACAATGTCACACCCGACCAGCAATTGAGTATACCCGTAATTGCATACACCAGAAACGCTAACAACTTTAATTGTGGAGTAACCACGCTCTGCTACCAATGTTTTGGCACCGTCGGGCTCCTACGGAACCGGCGGTCAGCCTAGCGATTCGGGTGACGAGAGTATAGGGAACAAGGTAACACCGTTAAATCCAGCTTATGTATATAAGTGAATATCACTGAACACTGTGTACTATTTAGAACATGTGCCTGTAGCACTATAATATAATATTAAGAAAAAGAACCTTTAAAAATACAGTAGTTCAAAGGCTGGCGGAGACGTCTCCCCGTCTCAGCGTACAATAATAATAAGTGATTAGCTCACACTAGAGCGCAATAATAATAACAGTGACAAATAATAACAACGATACCAATGACGACGACGATAGATGCGCGGAGTGGAGTGGCGGCGGCTGATACGGCGGCTGTAGTATGTTGCAGAATTATCAGCGCGCGGCAACGATGGTTGCGCGGAGTGAAGTGGTGGCTGCTACGGCGGCTCCGGTCTGCGGCAGAAATATCGGCTTGCGGCGAGTGACGGAGACGACCTTGACCTACAGCCGATCTATTTGAGTCGTTCCGGCGGCGGCGACGACGGCGGCCGCAACGGCTGTGTACAGGAACGTGTTCGGCGGCAGCGGCGACGATACTGGTCGCTAAGGCGTGCAAAACCGAACGACACTTTTGGACGGCATGGGACACGACGGCCCGAGTTGAGGCCCACGGACGTACACCCGCGTAGTCGTTAGTCGCACAACGATTCCCAGCACTCGACGACAATTAAATTGCGAATTAAGACAGTGCAGCGGGAACGCACAACAAGACGTGAGCTCGGCCGCCCGCTCTACGAAGCACTAATAGTAATAGACCGGTTGCGCGAGCGCGCAGCTTGCATTCAACGGCGGCAGCCCTTATCGGCGTTGATACGCCAACGGCGCGCGCACCCGGTACGGCTGGTCAGGCTGGGTATACACGTAATGACGCTGAGTTTCGAACACATTCAATCAGCTGCTTGGAATTCTTCTACCATCCAAAATTATCATGCCAACTCCCATACAACTCCCACCCACGTTAGAGAACTAATTACTCAAAATCGCCGTGCTCGAGCTAGATAGCAACGCACTAGACTTCCCTCAGACAAAAACTTGCTCAATAATCTTGCCTCATCCTTAAAACGAATGTTAAGTAAAATAAGAAACAAATCTTTCAATAACTGGACCCCCTCACTTACCGCAGAAAGTGGGTCGCTCTAGAGGGCAACCCGCAGCTGCCTGAAGCAGAAAACCACCCAAGCTCCACTAAAAAATAGTAACGGCAACTGGTGCAAAACAGATAAAGAACAAGCTGATGCCTTTTGTTCACACCTCTCGAAAGTCTTTCAACCCCATAATGATATTAACAACAATCTTCTAGACACAAATATTGAAAACTCCCTCTTCTCCCCACTACCTCTCTATCTTGCTCCCAAACCGTTCTCACCAAACGAGGTTCAATACTATATTAAATCTTTTCCTCTTAAAAAATCACCCGGGATAGATCTAATCACCGCAGAGGTAGCTAGACAACTCCCTAAAAAAGCAATTATTCACCTAACCCATATTCTTAATTCTATATTAAGACTATCTTACATGCCCCTCCAATGGAAGGTCTTAGTAATTATCTTATTCCCGAAACCTGGCAAACCCCCCGACATTCCATCATCATATCGCCCAATAAGCCTCCTTCCCTTCTTTTCAAAACTCTGTGAAAAATTAATTATCAAACGCATATCACAGCTCGTTAACGATAAAAACATAATTCCTCATACCCAATTTGGTTTTCGTAACAAGCACTCCACCATACACCAGATTCATCGCTTAACCGACGCCATTGCTTACTCCTTCGAAAAAAAACTTTACTGCTCCACAGTGCTACTCGATGTTGCTCAAGCATTTGACAAAGTCTGGCACACTGGACTTCTGCATAAACTAAAACAATTTCTCCCTCCTCCCTACTTCCTATTCTTCAAATCATATCTAGAAAATCGCCACTTTGTGACTAAAGTAAGCTCAGAATTCTCAAAACTTGCACCCATCTTAGCGGGCGTCCCCCAAGGTTCCATTTCGTCCCCAATTCTTTATAACATATACGCCGCAGACCAACCAATTTCTCCTAATACATCAGTTGCTGAATTTGCCGACTACAAAATCATCTTCACCTCCAATGAAAACCCTCTTGTCGCCAGCCAACATCTACAAAATCATCTTAATGAGATGGAAGTATGGTATTCAAACTGGAAAATAAAAATAAACAACGAAAAGTCTTCACATATAACCTTTACTCTCAGACAAGGCGTAGTCCCTCCTGTCTCTCTGGCAAACAAAATAATACCATCAGCTACCAAAGTTAAATACCTAGGCCTACTTCTCGACAAACGCTTAACTTGGGCCGAGCATATTAAACAAAAACGCCTCTTACTTAACTCCAGACGAAAAAGTCTTTACCCACTGCTAGGCAAACAATCCAAGCTAAACCTTAAGAATAAACTATTGCTTTACAAAACACTTCTGAAACCCATCTGGGCTTATGGTATCCAATTATGGGGAACGGCAAAAAAATCGAACATATATAAAATGCAAACCTTCCAATCAATAACACTTCGTATAATCACCAACACTCCCTTTTACGTTACCAACCATACTTTACACTCTGATCTTGGACTACCGACTGTAGCCGAAGTGGCCACATCCTCCTACAAGCGCTACCACTCTCACCTTACAAACATTCCCAACCCACTTATTCTCGCCCTCAACTCCGCAAACATTCCAGGTAATCCACCGAGAAGATTAAAGAGACGCTAGTGTCGCGATTTAGGTACCTAAATTTGTCAATACTTTAAATAAATAAATAAGGAAAAAAAAAACATAACCTAAAATGTACATAATGTAATGTAAAAATAACCTTAAATATCATGTCAAGTGTTACCGCTGGGTTGCTACTCACCTCACGCATTCACAACAATTGTATTTTTAGCCCATATGCTTATTGTAACCTTTATTACAGATTGTATATATTCGAATAAATGTTAAAAAAAAAGTTGTTTTCTTGAAATTTAAAAATATTTTTCGTGGGAGCTTAAAAGTTCTAAATTAAATTATCATGAAAACGCCAAACAATAAAAATTAAATAATTAAATTAAATTCGTAAAAAAATGCAGCATGCTACGAAATGTTTTTACACTATGCTTAGGTACCACAGAACATCTATCGTTCTCAATTTTTATTTTCCTTTAAGAAGATTTAGTTTTAGTACTGATCGACTTTGACATTTTGAATTCGGGGTGACAAGCTGACGGACCTAAATCTATGTTTCCTCAATTTTGTGTTAAATTGAAAACAAGATTGATTTTGTCAATAGCTGGTTTTTGGTATGTATAATAGTCTCTTATGCCAGTTATAATAGCGGTTGTACATCTGTTCAAATATATTTGAGCCTCTGCGCCATACTTATTCTTAACTCAGGCGATGAAAATATTAAAAATGTACCTATAAGAAGCTTACCGACGAATGAAAAATTTTATTAGAACTTAAGACTTAATAATCAACTTATTACAAACATCCCTAAACATTTCACAAAAATGAATATTTTTTGTTGTACCTATTTCATCATCAAAAATTGAAATTCGAACGTGTATGGTTATACATTTTTTAAGTTTAGATAAGTAGATTGAAGTATAATACAAATAATATTAGTCTCCCATTGGTTTTTTTTTTTATTATTTTCAACTTCCAACGTAGTGTTTCACGATGTAGGTAATTATTAAATAACAAATAATATCAATAATAATTCAGATACTGGTTAGAAAAATTGGAAATTTGGAATATTTAGAGCAGAATCATTTTTGAATATTATTAGTGCTTGTTGATAAGGGGTTAATTTTCTAATTGCCGGAGATTTTTTTTACTTATTTTTATTACAGGCCATTTTTTTCTAGATTCCTACAGTCAGGCTGTACCGTTGTATACACTAAAATATTGTGATACTGATGCAACAAAACAAACTGTTTTGGTTATAGAAACCATTAAATCGATAAGCTGGTTTGTTTCAAATTTGCATTTATTAATTAAAAATTATTTAAAAAATTTGATGGAATAAATGAATTCCTATTTTAGTGTATCATGTATTATTCTATAAGTATTTTCACTTACAGAAAAGCACAGAAGTGGGTCGACAACGTAACATACGAATACGCCCCACTCCACCACGGTAGAAACCCATGCAAAAGTGTGTGCATTAGTATGCATTAGTACACATTTTCGTGCAGGCCTCGAGCTATCGTGGCATCTATTTTATCTAATGTTAAATACATACTATTTACTTAAATATTAAAAAAAAATAATTAAAATGGTATTCAGCCACAATAAGAGAATAATATTATCTTGCTGTATAATTGTAGTAGTCAGTAAATAAACAGCTTGTTGAAAAGCATGATTAATGTTGCACTGAAAGAGTGTGGATTGTGTATACTTCGCTTATAAAAGAAATCGATTCTCAATATTTTATTTCATTCATTGTTCAACGTTCACATTATTATTTTCTATTATTTTCTTATATTGATTCAAAATGAGTTTTATTCAGCAATATTTAATAACGCTCACATTACTAGTAATTTCAGTTTGGGTTATCCCTGCAGCTTCTGATGAAAACGAATTATTTTTAAAAAGTAAAGATTCATTAACTTACAATGATTACATACGAGTCATAATTTTTATTTTGTTGAAATTTGTCAGCAATGAGTTATACGCTACTTCATTTAAATACAAAAAATTTTTTTTAATTTTAGTATATTCTCGATGTATTGTAGTTCAAATTGTGTAATAATATATAACATAATATGATGATTAAATATTTTTTATAGTTTACCTTATTTGTAGCAATTAAACAAGATTTCAGACTGAAAAAAATGATTTTTTTTCAGAACAATGTCAAAGTAAAACTTTTAATTAATTATAGGTTATAAAAATAAGATGTTAAAAAATTTGAAAAAATATTTAATTTAAATGTATATTGTGTATCTATAAAGTATGGTTGATATTAATGACTATTATTCCAATTATTGACAGTTTCCCAAAACAATAAATACTGAATAATTATTTAATTGACGTTATATCCATTTGATGGTCGACTTGTCATAACAATAATTATTATAACTACTAGAAAAATATACTACAAAGTACATATTATGTAATGTTAACGTTAAGTAAAATCTAGTGACCATGATTCGATCACTAATAAGTAATAACAATTCAACAAATTAATATGTACCTATGATACCTTCTCAAGCGATGTTCCATACTAATTTGTTTGAATATTTTTAAAATGTACAGACCTTTTTGCCGCATTAACGTACTAAGCATCGGCCAAATGGCCCCCGAAGGAGCGGCCGCAGTACATACGCGGCAAAAGTAATGGCACAGAGAGGAGGGGACCCGCGTATGTCGTCGTCGTCGTCTTCGTGGTCGAAATTATAGAATAATTTGAGCAAGCACCCAGTTCTTTTCCTCACGCGATGACGTCATAAACGGGCGGCCATGTAAAATCACAATATAAACAAATGAACCGGTGATATAAACGATCAGTGTGTTGTCCGCAATGGTAAACGGGCGGCCATGTAAAATGAATTGCTCCACGTGGAGCCGTAATTGTGTGTTCGATTAATTGATAAACATCAAGGATGAATAATATTTATCATGATAAAAATGTCATATTAAATCGACACTATTGCCCGTGCATTAAAATGCAATATTATGCGTTTAATAAAAAATATGATACGCTGTTCTTAGAATTGCATACGACACGGTGATAAAAATACGTATATTATGCATTTTGTCTAATTTTTTTTATGAGTATTCTACTTAATGATAATTACTGGTGTCCGGTATGAACAATAAAAACCCATATAAAAGAGCGTAATGTTCAATGGATCTTCAGTACAACGTTGACACACTATACAGACCTACCCAGGCTGACTGTAAGTATGTTCGACGGAGACAACACTGAATGTTCGGAAGTATCAATGGATTCTGCATGCAAGAAGAGGAAGGCGGAGAAATCTGTTACACCGATGAAGAAGGCAAAGACGACGTCAACAGCGTTCACCAACATTCCACTTTTACAGATTCGGACAGCCATGGAGACAGAGAAGTTGAGTGTGGACAATTTTGTTCACGTCACTCAACTTCTGACGGATATCAAACTGAAGGTGGGCACGCAATATCACATTTCAGTGTGGATAGTTTTGTTATCGCTATGGCACCCAGAACATTTTGCGACATTGATGAACCCGAAAAAATGGATGACTACGAACCTGGCACGCGACGAGAGACTGGAGGAATGCAATATGGAAGATATTCCTATGAGGGAGAGAATCAAGGCCATGTTGCTCGTGGCTCTCCCTTTTATGAGCACTTGCTTCGAAGAGTTGTCGACCGACTTTGCGACATCGATTTTCGAGGCAATGACCGATACATCAGCGACGTTATTGTCCCCCGTGGACCTAACGGAGTTGATGAAGTTGCTAAAGAGTTACAAACTATGTTGCGACAGTTCCCTCCAAAGCTCCCAGTCATCGTCACAGCCCATGGCGACCATGTCCATTGCGTCCACGTCTGCCGACAGTCAAACTCGGCTTGTCGGTGTATATGGTTGCAACGATCCGTCCTCTATCGCCAACATGGACGACGACGCCTTCGAAGACGCGTTTGGGCGATACGCCTCTCGTCGTCGGACTGGGAAAGCATCGTGCGATATTTTTCTACAGACGGCCGGGAACCCCAACAAATTGACGGCGTCGGTTCCTATGGAGGATTACGTGATGGACGCAATTTTATACAAGTATGTGGTAAAAAGTTATCTGCAATATGTCCGTAATTCCTATCTAAAAGAAGTGTTCATGTGGACCATGGTGAAAAAATATGGGTCGTCTTATCGATTTAATGCCACTCGTTTAAAAAAACATAAATTTCGGGCGACAGAAATTAACATTTTGTACAACAGACATTTGCCTAGTGTACGAAATTACGAAAATAAATTTCAAATTTTTCAAAATAATAAAAACTATTACGAACCGTTCGAAGCAACTCCGTTTTATATCCATTTCAATGAACTTGTTTATAGCATGTCAGATAAATTAAAAATATACAAAGGTACTAGAAAAATACTTGCGCCGAAAAAATGTCAATTTTGTTTATACCAACACCATAGGGAAAATACACGTCATAACAGAAAATTGGTGAAACTATGCTATCCGTTATTAAACCAAGCTACTTATGACCATATATTTGACCACATGTACGATGTTAATTATATGGATAATATTGACTTTTCGTAAATTTAGGAAGTCGGATCTCGAAGGACTCAGGGACACGAAGGAAATGTGGAAATATGCGTCAATGAAATGCCGAACGACGTTCCCAGAGAACTCTGTGCATTTGCAGAACATCAAGACGGCAATGCGAACCACTCTCCCGTTGATGAAGAATTCGGACACGATGAGGGAAGTTCCAATATCAAATCAGTATGCGTGTACCCAACGTCGCTAAAAAATTTGCTGTACCAGTATCCTTGTTGCCCGCCTGACGCTTTCACGAATATCAAAGAATTTTATTTAAATAGTCGATTAAACACTATATTAGAAGAAGACAAAAAATGTAAAGTAGCTCTTAGGAATTGGTGCGCTATTATACGGGACTGGAGTATTAATGAATTCGTTGAATATTATAATAAACCTAACGTAAAACCGTATTTTAACGCATACGCTAGAGGTCCTGGAACAGTTTATTACGATATCGATGAATCCGTTTCAATAGCTTCCGAGTTATTGATGTATCAATTTGAAAACAACGAAGGTCTTATTTGTAGATTTTTGCAAACTCTAGTCAACATATTGGATAAAAAAATTCCGAAAAGAAATAGCATGCTAATACATTCTCCTCCCAGCGCGGGCAAAAATTATTTTTTCGATGCCGTAGCCGCCTTTTTTTTGAATTACGGTATGTTCGGAACTGCCAACAAAACGAATAATTTCAGTTTTTCCGATGGCGCCGGCAAACGTCTCGTAATTTGGAACGAACCTAATTACTAGGTGTATCATTTGGAAAAAATGAAGGAACTATTAGGAGGGGATACCACTAGAGTGCATGTTAAATACAAAAACGATGTTCCCCTACAAGGGCCCCCGATAATATTATTGACCAATCACTATTTATCGATAATCAATGACCCGTCGTTCAAGGACCGTTTATCAGTGTACACATGGATTAGCGCACCTTTCCTAAAAACGTATAATAAAAAACTGTCTCCGTTATTTTTTTATCATTTATTAAATAAATACAATATTACATATTATTGAATCGTGTTTTATTATTTATTATCTTATTCTATTGTTACAAATTGATTGTACATCGACGACAAATCGTCACGGAAAAAGTACTGCCCCTGTGTAGTAGATAAATTATGATGCATCACACAGTCTTCGAATGGAATATGAATTTT